TGATAAATAATTTTGTAGTGTCTGACAATGCAGACTGTCTCAGAGAATTTTTTAAATATTAGCATATGTGAATACTGCTTTGATGGGGTCTTAAAATATATATAATATAATATTATTATCCCATCGAACGAAGTTCGGAGGGATATAGGGAATGCCTCCGTCCGTACGTACATCCATCCGTCTGTCCGTCCGTCCGGGCAATAACTCAAATACCGTTGGCCCGATTTTGTTCATATTTGGTATGTGAATACTATAAGCATTGCACACTGTCCTATGACACTTTTGGTAGAAGGTGGCCATTTTGAAAAATGGCCGCCATTTTAATGTATTTTACTATAACTCGAAAAGTAGTGGAGCGATTTTGTTCATATTTGGTATGTGAATACTATCAGCATGGCACACTGTCCTATTACACTTTTGGTAGAAGGCGGCCATTTTGAAAAACATTTTGAAAAATGGCCACCATTTTAACGTATTTTACTATAACTCGAAAAGTAGTGGAGCGATTTTGTTCATATTTGATATGTGAATACTTTAAGCATGGCACATTGTCTAATAAAACTTTGGGGAGTAGTCGGCCATTTTGAAAAATGGCCACCATTTTTATGTGTGTTATTTTACAAGTACGTGTGCGATTTTTCAAAAATTTTAGAGGTGGCTACTTAAAAGCATATTATTTCTTCTGATGACAACTTGGCTTGTGAGCAACCATTTTGAAAATGATGGCCTTTCTGGTGTGTTGTTTTATGATATTTGCGCTTCGTTTGTAAAAATGCCAGCCATTTCTGTTCGATGGGATTCGCTACGCTTTGGCTTTGCCGTTGTTCTGGTTATGTATATTATTATTAAAATGTTTAAAAATGATTGAACTTTACTTTAAGGAACCAGGGCCATTGCCTTGCATTTCTGGAAGGTTTAGCAAGGTGGAATGAGCACAGGGTCCATGCAGCAATCTCATCTAGCCATCCTTCCACTAAGACACTCTGCTGCAAAGTGCAGTTGGCTAGTTTAGGCTTAATGTGTTTGATGTAGAAATAGCTCCAGAAATAGTTGACCCCTCTCAGAAAGGACACAGGTGTGTAAACAAGGTTGAAATTACTGTTGACCTCCCACCACCTGCCATAGCTTGAAATACAGTGTGGGTCATATCTACTCAACAGTAGTTTAAAATTTAGAACCTGATATACTCTGTTCAAGATGGCCACTAATTATCAAAATGTGTTTTGTTCGGTGGGATTTGCTACTCCATGGAGTTGCTGTTTTTCTTGTCGAATTATGCTCCCCTGAAAATGGGAGAGACTGCTCCTGAGCTGTTAGGAGGTAAACCCGATAGCCTGATCTGTTGCATCTGTAATTTTGAGGATCATATAGGTCCTCTAGAATTCATTCTATCAATGCCTGAATCTTGCTGAAATACTGACGCAAGATGGCAACCTTGATGTATAGCACATTTTTATGAATCAATGCTTAACAATCATTTTCTCAGAAATGAGTCAGAGTACCATCTCCTATGTTTTACCATGGCTCAAACACATATTGAACAACATTCTAAATTAATTTCATGCAAATCATTCTAGTGCCTTTGGTATAAAATGGGTCTCAAACATGATGAAAATGGCACTTTCTGCAATTTTCAGACAATATTATTAACATGGTAGTAAATGAGTGTTACAATATGCGGTAGGGGGAGGTCTAAACCCCAATGGATTTGACTGAATTTTTTGTGCTTGTTTTCCTTTATCAAGAGACCAACTAGGCAAAACTCAATCTTGATTTGAAAAAATAGTTGAAACTGGTGAAACACCCTAGGATAGGATACCCCTGTCAAGTGCAAGTGCTTCATCAGCAGAACCCCTCCCGAAGGACAAGAAGGTGGCAGCACTGTCCTCAGCCAGCGTGGATGATCCCCGCATGTTCGATCTACCCAAGAACACAGCTGGTGAAGGAGTGTCACGAGTGAAGAGGAGGATTCTTCCTGATATTCTAACCATTCACCTCCAGTGCAAGTGCTCCTCCAGATCCCGCTCCAAGGTACGTTATGATTGCTCCTACTAGGGACTAGCTGTTTCCTGGTTAATCTGGCTTTTGTTCCTGAAGTCGCATACCCAGGAGTACAAAATCCTATAGCAAAAGAGTGGAGAAGAACAAGATGGAGGGCAAAGCCGCTAAGCGATCGAGTGTCCAAGTTTAGTGAACAGTGAAGACCGACAAACTTGTAATGCTACCTAGCCTAGCTAGAAGGTCCCAAGTCCTTGTAAAAGCAGAGGGCAAGTTTTGTCAAAAATGAACATAAATGTGTTTATACAATATTGTTCAAAGTTGTGTGGGCTTCACCAAGGAAGTAATATTCTTTGGTTTGGGTTCAACTCCCAAATGACTTGATATTGTATTTACTTGTTAATGTTCTCTTCATCTCTTCAATTCATTCCCATTAACATGATTAAACATGATTCAATTTTAAATGTACAACTCCTCATTTGCATTACTAGACCCAATAAAAAGATCTCTTGAAGGGATTTGATCATGATATGACATGACATGATATAGTAATTTTAGATAGAGATTGATTGTGACAATTGTGCTTGATTGTGTCAACAGATATACTTGATTGTGCTAGAATTAATCCATTTCACAAACCCGTCAATGTATTTACTAATTGCTCTCAAAGAACACTAGGACCTGACCCCCTTTGGTGGGCCCAGAATTTTTTTCTTATTGGAAATCTTTTTGGAAGGCCTTAAAAATGTTTTTTTGGGCATAATTTGGCATTTTTTGGCCAATTTATCAAAAATGGGCCTTAACTTTTTTTTCAAAATTGGACCAAATTTTGGGTTTTAAGGGCGCAAGCTAAGAAATTTTTTTACATATTCAAAATTTGCCCCCCCCCCCCTTGTTAATTTCTGGATCGGCCACTGCAGGGGTGGGGGTGCAACTTCCAAGGCTGACAAAACAGTTCAGGTAAAAAAGGTCCAGTAATGCCCAAAAAGGCCCACTAATTTGGGCACAGGCAATGGAACATAGAAATAATCCCCCCCACTCTCTGTATATAAGTAAATAAATATTTATTTACTTATATATAGAGAGTGGGGTGGGATTATTTCTATGTTCCATTGCCTGTGAATTTGGGGCTTTTTGGAAGGGGGGCTGTCCCCCCAGATCCGCCAGTGAGCTTGTTCATCAAACTGGGCACTTTACAGTGGCGGATCCAGGAACCAACAAGGGGGGGGGGGCCCAAATTTGAGGTCAGAGAAAGACCATCCGCGCTTGTGCCGAAAAAAAAAATTTGGGCCCCTAAAACTGAAAAGTGGGCCCAAATTTTGAAAATTTGAGGCCCATTTTCTTCAAAATTTGGCTTAAAATTAAAAAAAATAAGGCCTTAAAAGGCCCAATAATGACCAAAATGCCCACTTTTTGGGGCCTTAAGGCCTTTTTTGGCCTAAATTTTTTTTGGGCCCAATTTTTTTTTCTGGGCCAACCTTAGGGCCCATGGGGCCCGGCCCCCCCCCCCCCCGGATCCGCCATAGCTTTATAACCCTATGCGCAAAACATCTCGTTAAAAGTCCGTTGCGCAGTTAGTCAACATATCCATAGTTAAGAGTTAATTACTAGGAACCCTTCTAATAAAAGCAATGAAAATTCTGATTTACGAGTCAAATAATGTACCGTTCGTTTTATTGCAAAGGCGGGTTTGGATGACGGCAAACCCGGGTTTTGAGGGCGCAACTTATGGCAACGAGTGCTTCTGAAAATTTTTGCCTAGAAATTTCTGAGACTCTCACTTGACAAATTCAATCGCGTTTACACGCGGAATAGATTACACAGACATATTGAACTTTATCCACGTTGCTTATATTGTATCGTTCACGCACTTCTGTCATGGTGAACAGAGTTGATTTCTGTTTGTGCTTATCCTCAATTTTTCTGTTTTTTGTCTGTGCAGTAATGATGCGCAGACGTTTCCAAGGGTAATAGAAGTTGCAATCGTGACGTCAGCGGGCAATAGTTCAAATATATTTTCCCGCTGACGTCACATTTGAGGGAATATAACTTCCGAAGGGAAATAGAAAATCTATTTCGGAACATGTGACTAGGTATTGACCAATCATAATCAGTGTTACATATTGGGTATATAATAAATACTATGATCCAACTCTAATTTTTGGAACAGTGTATTAATAGTAATACTATTGACTTATTAACAAACACAAGATGACCCAAATGCTTCAAAATCAACCAGTAAATAATATGAAATTGTGAACATGTTTTAAAACTCAAGTATAGAGAACAGAATGCAATAAAAAGGAATACAGGAAACACCCATATGTTTCGAATCAGAATTGTACAAAACTGACAGAAAATAAGACATTTCAATAAAATCTTTGAGAGATATGGTGAAGATGGAGTTTGTAGATAATGACAGTTAACACACTGGCTTCAGACATAAGAGTCAAGTGACACTCAAAAATTTAGAATCAGAATTCAAACATGACCGTGCTCTATTCGAATTTCTCAACCAATCAGAATGCAGCATAGCCAATATAGAACGTTCTTTAATTCTCCATAGATGCACGACCATGCTCTATTCAATCTGCAATTTGCATTGTTTTGAGTGACGTCACATCTCAGCTGCACATCTGGGGCTCTGTCCGGGGATAGCTGTTCTTTTTTACTCCCTCCGTAACTACTGTAACTATTTAACTATGACTGACACCCCATGTTTGCATACACCGTATAAAATCTAAAACGGGGAGTAACATAGAACAGCCCAAACAAATTCTAAATTTTTTAAGGAATTAATATTAATTGGACAGAATGTTAGTACAAATGCACTCACCTTCGGTTCGTGCTTTGTACAACATTCTGTCCAACTCGTGCTGAATTTCACCATATTGAATGGCCTATCATTATTTATTCCTTAATTAATATTCAAATCTGATCTGCAGGTGGTTGATTTTTGCCACTATAGACAAGACACATACAAGGAATAGAAGATTCTAGTAATGTTTGGTCTAAAAGCCTTGCTAGCACTGTTGCTGGCCAATGACATTGCAGCTAAATTTGTAGATTTGACCTACAACATCAACCAAGACATAATGAGATGGCCTGGAACTCTTCCTTATAAATCTACAGTTGCCTTCTATGGACCTGTTTTGGGTGTACCTTTGTAAGTATCTCATCTTCTTTGTCCAAGCTATGGATAATCAAAGAAATAAAATAACTTATTTTTACATGCTTCATTCACAAAACTATTTGGACGTGGTGAAAGTTTTTGCTTTGTCAGAGCAGACTGTTTTTTAAAAGAAGGGACTTTTAGTTTTCAAAAATCAGTGTCTTGCCATAGAGTTACTAGTATTAGTGAAACATCTGTATTTTCAGTGTTGCATCAAACAACTTTGAAACAACTGAACATATTGGGACCCATATTGACACTCCATATCACTTTGCAAAAAATGGGAGGAAACTACATGAAATTCCATTTGCTGATCTACATGGGGCTGCTGTTGTTATTGACATCAGGAACAAGACTGTTGATAACCGGGATTATGCTATAACTGTGGAAGACCTGCAAGCCTGGGAGACACAACATAATCAACCAATTCCACATGGTGCAGTTATCGTCATGAACTCTGGTTGGGGGGCTTACTGGGGAAATCAAAGTGCATTTCTTGGGAGTAACAATACCACAATGTTGCATTTCCCTGGATTTGGAGCACCTGCTGTTAAGTGGGCAATTGATAACAGAAATGTCAAAGGATTTGTGACAGATGCTGTCAGTTGTGATGTTGGACAAGCAACTGGTTTTCCAGCTCATCAAGCAGTATGTGATGCTGGGAAATGGTGTGTTGAAAATGCTGCAAATGTTGAAAGAATCCCAGCAACTGGAAGTGAGATATACGCTATGCCAATAAAGATAGAAAATGGTACTGGAGCGCCAATACGGCTATATGCAGTTTGGGACCATGTAAATCCATGGCACGTAGGAGATGCAGGCTCAATAGTAGTTCACTCCATGATATCTATATTGGCAAGCCTGGTTGCAAAATATCTGTTCATGACATAACATCATATGACACACAGAAATTTATATATATATTATGTGATCATAATAACTGTGCTTGGTTAGAAATTGAAAAATTGCACTAGTACATTAGTTGGATGATGTTGCTTAAACACATCAGATTTTGCAAACATTTTATAAGGAGATATTTCTATGAACAATGATTCATGATCATTCATCATCACTGATATACATGCATAATTTTGATTACATTTAAGATTAATAATAACCAATGGTAAAGATTTCTCTTTAAAAATGCACAAGCAGTCCATGAATTAAAAATAAATATTTGGTAGCTCTGATTGTGACTAATTGTGGTTTCAGAATTTTTTGCAGTGTTTTGGTATACTCTCTGGTGAATTGTCTCTTTTGACACCCATGCTTTTATACTATCACACATACGTTTTTACAATGCATTGCACTCAACTGAGTGACTGTTGTCATCAGTTGGCTGCCAACAAGAAACCTTGAATATTGCACCGTTATAACAAGTACATGGGTTCCATCGAGGGATATCCCTGTCACTGAACACAAGTGCCCAACCACGCCTTGAACCAGGCAGCCAATCAGGCTCAGAATAAACTAATGACCAATGAGATATCACAGAGATTTTTCAGGTATATTCAAACTTGCAAAAACGTCCAGGGCAGTCTTGACTGTGATCTCTTATGTCTGTTATATAGGCGTGATGATATTTACAACATTGATAGAGTGTGGACAAAGTTTGAAATTGCCTTCTGTATCCAATGATGATTCATCATACTTTATCAAACAAATTATAATTGTTGTCATGATTATATTTTAGATGTTTCTGACCAACATGAAAAATGAAAAAATATAAATGAGTTTTTGATAATGATTCTAGCTAATACCAAGACAAGACAATTATAAGTTTATATCTTTAAGGGTTTTCGGAAAAGACGGACCCCACCGACCACCGACCGGTCGGTGTTTTCCACTGGTAGCCTCAAAACAGGGTTTGAAGAAAATGTGTAAAAGACCGACCATATCATGTAAAAGACCGAACATATTTGTAGCCTTAGAATATTAATAATTTGATTTTGAATGTCAATCGTTGGACTAGGCAACGTTTTTTACCGATTTTGTACCTTGCAACGAATGGCAAGCAAACAAATTGGTCATGACCGTCTCCTCTCGATTAATTGCCCTGCCTTAGGTCCTAACCTATCATTAACCAACCTATTGTTTCTACGGGAATTTATCCTAATTTTTTACTGAAATTTAACAATTTCGAAACAAAAATGATTTGTTATCGTCATAGCCTACTGAATACTGAACACGATATAATGTTACATGCGTTCTCTTACACGCCTGACCATCGACAAGGTACAGTCACGTGACATTGACAAAATATACCGTAGTACACTTTTGATGTACTATGTCATTTCCGCCATTTTAGATCGCCATTTTCTAGAATGAGGAAGCGAGGAAAGAACTAGCATTGATTTGATCAATATTGTGTCAGTTCACCATCAGGTAGTTGTTGCATTCGATTTGTAATTAAGTTGCAAATATGCATATCTACTTCAAATGATCCTCAGCAACTTCAATATCTTGTTATAGATCTACCCAGCACGTCAGGTATCTCTAAATCTTGACTGAATTTCTGAAAATTCTCTCTAATTTTTATTGTGCTATGCAAATAACAGCCAAACTACGACTAACACAACTTAAGATAAGTATACAAATATACATTCAGAGTTAATGCAAAACCGCTTTTTACTTTGGATGCTACTACGAAAAAAAGATAATGTATGTTGTCAACTCGAATGTATGTTGTCACATTGGCCTTACAGATCTCAATTCACAGTTAATTTTACATTGAATGAAATGCTATAATGTACGTGTAATAGAAGGAACATATTTGATAATAAAGTAATAATATTTAATAGGCATATCAGATATATTTACCCTTATATTTGTTCCGTTAATCCATAAAATTGTCATTGATATGATTAAATGTCAATGTTACTAATTCTTTTTTTGTGTTCCATACCTGGCTTTTGAACTTCTGCACTTTCCAGATATACAGTGTCCCAAAGTATGCCCCCCTCCCTAGGCAGATATATACCAATGTCTCCATAGTATGTGTCATATATCATTTTTAAGCTTATCCAAACTTACATTGATTTGCCAAATATGATGGTTCAAATGGTAAAAAGTAACAGGCATTTCAAAAATTAGCGTTTTGCCAAAAAGATAGTTCATTTCAGTATCCTGGAAACAGCCCTGACCCTGTGACAGAAAATATGGATGCCATTCTCGAAGATAGGATGGCTATTGAGTTCTAAAAAGATGACGTTTAGGGTAGATACTCCAAGGAAACTCTTCGTATGCCTTAAAAAGGTTTCATGAGGATTATAAAACGTCATATCCCTATTTGAAGCCTGTTTAAGGTCATATATGGAAAGTATTGCTGCTGTTAACATGGCGGCTAAGAAGACACACCGACTATTGTTTTGGTGTAAAACTGACTTTAATTTTGGCCAAACACTAACTTTTGTATTCCTGTAACTTTTTCCATTTGTGAGTTGAACCATGATACTCGGCAAATTAATATAACTTTGGATGAGCTTTAAAATGATATATGACACATACTATGGAGACATTGGTATATGTCTGCCTAGGGGGCCCATACTTTCGGGACACCCTATTGCATAAATTTTGAAAGTCATCATGCTAGTATAGATCTCTCCATGAACTCCTTGAGATTATTAAAATTCATAAAAGTGCAACTAAACATAACGTAACGTACCGACGCCGAGTGGCCAAAAAGGTCGGAAGATATCACGCCATGGTCACATATTAATCACCATATTAACACTTTCATAAAATAAAATAGCATTCAACGAAAAAATCACGTTTACCTGTTTATCTGTACTAGGGATACAGGAGCATGTTCGTTGAACATCACTTGTTACGCATAAAACCCTTAATGCATTTTGAAATTAAATCATTGCAATGTTTAATATTATAACTCATGAATTTCAATTACAGGGACAACATACACTGTGAGTTGACAACGTACATTTCTGATTTTTTAAATTATACCAAATGCATGAATATTTATTAAATCTTAACCCGTCTTAAATTGTGCAGTTTAGAGAAACACATTCTCATTAAAATATTCGACACTCCGAGACGTCAGGGGAGAAAATTATCAAAGGAAATGTGTAAAAAACAACATTTTTCCAACCGAACAATTGTATGGGTAGACGTACAACGAAAAAAATCGATCACTGCTCGAAGATCTTTTAACGTAATTAGTAAAATAAATGTCTTTGAAATCGAATACACGCGATATCAAACAGGAAATCCTTTTTGTATTCCTCAATTTTTTTTTTGAAAACCTGCATCAAACCTACATCATAGTCTTTGCTTAAAATCAGTTAATAGTGACATTGTACATCAAAAGTGTACTACGGCATATTTTGTCACGGTCACGTGACTGTACCTTGTCGATGGTTAGGCGTGTCTTATCGGGATTAAAAGCGACTTACCATTTCAGTACACCATTAGAAAGCTTTTTTTGTCATATCAAATGTAGTTTTTACCAGTTGACGTTTAACAACTGAGAAATCAAACATAACGTTACGACGTCAACCTCGACGATGTTTGTGTGTTTTTGTTATTGCGTTTCATATGAATGAACTTAATGCAATGTTACGTGCGTTTTTTTCCAAAGTGACTAACCAGGATGAAATTGGTCTTCTAACAACTGAAACATCACTTAAAATATGACATTACACACCACGACGATGTAACGTTTTCATCGTGATTTGAAATGATAATTATACGTTTTTAAATCACGACCTAGTAAAGGTACTATAGTCATTGGATTCCCAGTTTTAGTTTTACTTCTAATTTTGCATTTTTTCATCTTTATGTAAAAGACCGTCAGCCGACCACCGACCACATGTACCCAACTGTGGAGAGTGACTGGTCGGTGGTCGGTGGTCGGCGGTCGGTGTTTTACGAAAACCCAAAAATAAGGAGAAGAGAATTTGCCCCAGGTACCATGCATCATGCAAGTTCGGACATGTTGTTGACATTATATTGATCTAGTACTACGGCCAAGGCCATTTGTGTCCAAACCACCTAGATTCAATATTAAGTAAAAGAAAGTTTGTGAACCCTTGCAAAGCAGGCTCAAAAATGCTGAGTCAGCAAATTTTATCATTTTCGAGTCGGAGTTTGACCATATGCTTGAAACTATTTAATTTCTCATTTGAAGGTGTTGCAATTATAACGAAGCATTATTAATATATCAATTAGGCATGTATGAAGAATTCCTGAAAGTTTGGGTCTTATCCAACAAAATTTGGTAGAGATATGGGATAACTCTCTTCAAAATTTCTTAATCAGTCGATATATAGTTAATCAGTCATTTAAAAAACGAAATTGATCACTTGGAGAGAAAGTAAAGCACTATTATTTCATTTGGCTTCAGGTTCCTACAACTTAACAATTTATGACACATATAATACAAAGCATATACACCCCCTCCATAAGGTTGGCAACTGCAAGTTTTCATATGATAACATATCAAGGTCTGTCAATGTTTGAACCTTGATTTTGTTCCTTATTGCTTTATTTCAAAAGCTTTGATGTCTTGTTTAAAATTGCCAAACAGCATGACAAGCTTTGATAAGTGATTCAAAGGGGGACTTCTAGTTACAAAACTTATGATGGGGAGTGTAATATAACATATTATCATCATGATTTTTTCTTAACATACCATAACTACATGAACAACATTATTCTATACCATACTTTACACCTCGTTACAAAATAACATGACATTATCTTAAGAATAAGCAAATGGCTTGCGGTCGCTTTATTCGTATGTAAATGAATGGGAAGGATAAGTACAATATAAGTACACATGGAATGCATATACTAAGTACAATATATGTATAAATGGAATGCACAAAACAGTTAAGTTTATTTGAGAAAAGTGTTGTACAATTCTTATATAACACAGATTGTTGCATCAGATTTATATTTACCAAAAAGGGTGTGAATCTTCTTACATAGTTTATGAAAAATGAAAATACCGATTGATTTTGGGGTCCTTCACACCATTAAAACCTAACAATTAGGAAAGGTATGGAATTACCCCTCCACCTATCGGCATTTGTTAACAGTTTTATTCTGTGAAGTGTTCATGCATAGGCGACAAAAGCCAGAATGATCCTAAATATCCAGCAATCTACCACAATAACAATACAACTCACTCACTCAGAAACAAACACATGCATGAAACTACACGCCAATCTGATTGGTAACCGAGTTTACAAGTACACAATAGAAAATATTTATGTTCTAATTCATTACTCTCAACCGAACATAAATGATTAGGATAGAATGGCACCTGAAATACAATTTTGAAAAATGTTATTAGTACACATACATGTATTTCCAATTGCTGACCACACATACCCTAAACGGATTTATGGGGTATGGCAATGATAAGCTGTAAAAAATATAAAATGTAAGTACCAAAGGCCCTTACTGTTTTTTAAATGACTGATTAACTATCGACTGATTAAGAAATTTTGAAGAGAAATTATGTACTTTTAGGGACAAATTATCCCATATCTCTACTCAATTTTATTGAATAATACCCAAACTTTCAGAAATTCTTCAAACATGCCTTATTGATATATTAACAATGTTTCATTATAATTGCAATATCCTCAAATGAGATATTAAATAGTTTAAAGCATATGCTCAAACTCCGACTCGAAAATGATAAAATTTGCTGAGCCTGCTTTGCAAGGGTTCACAAACTTTTTTTTACATGCCTTGGGGTCACCTACAAGAATCTAAAGTCAAATTGAATCTAGGTGTTTTGGACACAAATGGCCTTGGCCGTAGTACTAATCAGGAAGTTCCAAAGATGCTGCTGAAATATCAGCCTTTAATAATAAAAACTTTTAGTTTTATTTATTTATGTTTATTTTATCCACCAGAATTGGTGTGTTTACATGTGTTATATAAAATATTACATAAGGGGTTGAGATTATTATGTTACATACAATAATAAAAAAAACAATTAAAATGTTTATGTACAACCAATCCCTGGTGTTGACGGACGTCAGGTTACCGCGTTTTATAACAATTAGTTCAGGACTTGAAATTAAATTATCATTGAAACATGTTACTCACACACTCGCTCAAATATGACACAAAGTTTGATTTGCTTTAATATTGAACCAAAAAAAACTCACATAGGAAAAGCATACGAAGTTCAGAGATCATTAGAAGTGCATACGCATGTTAAATAAAGTGCATGTTTTAAATTACTGTTGATTTAAAAGATGGCAACACTTCTATTAAATTGAATGTATCATGTAATACAAACAACTCTGTCATCTTTCAATGACATTGATAAAAATTTGATATACGAGTATAAAGCTCGACAGATCGAAAATATTTTTTGATAATTTATTGTAAGCTTTGATGTGGTCCGTTTGAGGTATTGTTGGTGTCAAATGAAAGATAAGGTTCTTATCAATAAATTCAATAAATGAAATTCAAATGTAAGTCTTAATTTTGCCCAAACACGTTGGAAATACGCAAAGTGGGCCTTTAAAATATAATGTTCACACAATGATGAACAAACTGAGGATGTGATGTCATGTTGTTCACACGATGCTTATAATTATATTGCAGCGATAGACTCCTGCGCTCGGTCAATGCTAATTGCAAAATACAAAGTTGCGATTAAATATGATACTCAGTCCTCTGATCAGACTGTTTGTCAATATGACCAAGTAAGTAAATATTTAAATTTTAAGTTAACAATGAAGATGTTCATATTATTTTTGTTTCACTGATTTACACCTAAACATAATTTAAATTACAAACTATAATTCATTGCGTTTACACCAATGTAGTAATCCAATACGGGACTAATACTGGAATTGCTGTTTATTTGAAAATCAAATATCTAGCAATTTAGCTGCCATTATTTTCTCAAATTTTCTAAAAGTCAGAACCCACGACCTTTCAAGGGGCTATAAATCGAGAAAACAAAAATTCTAAAAAGCGGAAGGTCATATACATGTTGTTATTTTGACTGTACGTCGAGTTAAGTAGATGTAGAACATGGATACTGTCATGTTTTAGGATGTTGCGACTGCTTTAAATCAAGAATTATCAACCTGTGATAATTACACATCAAAACTGATACAATATTGGATTATGGCAGCAACTTTGGATTTCGAATTAATAAGTGTCAACGAAGTCAACTGCAATCTTGTAAATGAAATAATAAAATTACGCTCCTTCCTCACCCAAGGTAAAACACTGACAACTAAGCTTGTATTCGCGAATGCAACATTCGGCTGTCGGCTACCGGATTGAAGGCCCCCTCACATATGAACGAATCTACCTAACGCAGTCTTGCGAATTGGGTAAATGCGAACCTAAGCGTATCTTTGCGCATGGTTCCGAAATCGTCCGAAGCTTTCCGAAGGGATACTTACACATACGAACACCCCAACGATGCACAATGTACATATACTACAGTAATTGGAAGGAATTTTACCCAATTCCTATTCGAAAGAATGTGTTAAGTGGATTCGTTCATATGTGAGGGGGGCTTTACATACTATTTTATGACCAACTCATCTAAATATGAATGAAATAGCGGCAGGTTCGATTCTTATTTAAATGAGGTGCCCATAAAATAGTAGGTTAATTCGTCAGCCGACAGCCGAAAATTGCATTCGCGAATAACGACTAAAACAATATGTATTTAATTGGAAAAAACAAGAACATGCCACCAGCTGACAAGTCATTGGGAATGATTACAAAAAACGTAACACTTTGTTACCGTCGGTGATCGCTGAATACTGGTCGTTATAACAAGGTCACCACCTGGTGACATAAAATTTGATTTTAACACCCTATAATATGACATACGTTATTGTCTTAAAGGAGCATGTAAGGTATGGCAAGCCATTTTCAAAGGGCTATATCTTTGGTTCGAAGAATAATTTAACCACAAAATCAAATGGTTCTGTTAGATCCATGTCTTATCTTCAATAAATGACATGAGGATGATAATCAAGTTGATTGGATTATCTCTTAAGCTGTCCCTAATCCACCCATCCTCACCAATTTTCCCTAATTCTGACGCAATTTTCACCACAAGTGCAGGCCTTTTTAATAATTTTTAGTGCAAAGTTGTATTGAACTTTCAGACATGATTTAAACTGTAAAGGGGAAAATTTAATTATGAACCTACTTTTTAGTATTTTTTTTCGCGATTTTTTTGTATTTTTTCTGATATTATAAGGTGCTTCATACTTATATTATACAATTACAAAATAGAGGGCAGCTAAGTGTCATAAATAATTTTCAAACACTCGGATAGTGACTTACTCAGCCTTATGAATTGCCTTAATCCTGTATTTTACCTTGTATTGTTTGTGTATAAAACAGTTGTGTCATTCACGTAAAGCTATTTATATACTGAATAGTTCTTTGTAATTACATGTGCCTGGTTTTGGCTATTCAATCTAGACTCTTTGTTTGGGCAGGCTGAAATGAATAAGTGTGAAAATAAAATGAATTACAGGGTGAGGCAAAAAATGTCATCCAAAGAAATGTTATTAACTCATTCATCTAGTATGAGTTGAAATCATATTTAGTTAATCTTTTTGTATTTAACCATGTTTTATGGGTCCATTCCTCAAGGTCACAATTCTATGGCCATTCTACAAATTTCAGCCTCGTCCCTTCAGGCAGACCTGCACTGGTCGGTTGAGAATGTAAGGTCACCGTCACAGAAATTGTTCTCCTACTTGTTGTAGGGGTTGACATTATCTCAGAGATAGCCCGTAGTCATGAGATGAGGCTGGCATTTTGGACCATGTTATAGCCATAAAATCCAGACTATTTGGGCAGGGTCAATTAAACTTAGTAAAATGAAAGAACATTAAACAAGGTTTTATTATGCCAAATAACACTTTAACAGATGCGGAATTTGTTTGGGCTACATTTTGGCTCACTCGGTATTAGACTGCACTTTGATAGTATTCATGATGTCATATGTTGGGTAAAAGGCGATGATTTACCCTACTGTTGATGGCAAATTCATTTTAATACGAATGAATAGTGGCAGGTGCTATTTATATCTAATGAGCCATAAAATAGTAGGTTGATCTGGCAGCTGTAAGTTGAATTCGCGAATACTACTTGTAATGGGGTTTCAAAGCCCGTGGTCACCTATGTAGTTTCTTCATCCTAGGTCAAATCCACTCAAGAATGCCCTTAATTACAATGGTGTTATATTAGATGCAGCATCTATTAATTTCTTGAATCACAGCACCCCTAAGCTTAATCATAATTCCGTTGATTGACCTACAGCATAGGCCTAGGGAAAAGTTGGGATCCCTGATTAAAACCAAAACCTCTAATTCTAATTACAGCCCCTAAAAACAACAACCCCGAACCAAGTGCATGTGGCAGTCATTGAACCCAAAAGCATTTTTATATGCCAACCTATAATGAGACCCCCTATAGTGAATAACAACCAGGTAGTCGTCTAAGGTATAGCAACATGTTCAGTTTGTAATTTTATAGAAGGTCACTGAGTCCTCTAATCGTTCATTCAGTTATGGATAAACTATGAGTACTGGGTTTTACGAGAAATAATAGCAAAGGGGCTTGGCCTGAGGCTATTAGTTCTCATAAGACCAATTTTGAATAATTTATCTAAAATGACCCATGATCCAAGTTTAGAAAAATTCTTTTGTATTAACTGTGAGGTAAATGTGTAGAGAAGTGGGTTCAGCTTCAATGCACCGCATGTATCAGGCAAGGTACAGTTAAAAAGTGTATTTATTTTGTGTTTACAATTCAACTATTGAGTGATTGAAAATGGTTTAATAAGTACAGCTTCGGTGAACTGCATGTGACAGTCAAGGTGTAATATTGAGCCAAACACTGTCAATCATATTTTGTGCCCCACTGGTTTGAGATAGCTTACAGTGTCCATTCTTCAAAAACAATACAACAAGAATGCACTCCTCTTTCTTACTACTGTACATTCTTGAAGGTAAAAAAGGTCTTCAAATTGATTATTTTTTCAAGATGATCGTCAGGGTCTCAAAAATTCAAATCTGACTTTAGATTTTACAATTATTGACCGCCAATGACCTCAAAGTAAAGAGGGTCTAAAAGGTATTTTTCAACTTGCTTCGAATTGACCGAATTTTTAAAATCACCTACAAGTTCTCAGAGGTCAAATCTGACTTTTGATTTGACATTTGACCTCTCAAGTTCAAAAAGTTTAAAAAGTCATTTTTCAACTTGCTTCAAATAACCTTTTCTTTTCAAGATTTGACTTAAACTACAAGGCGGTGACATTCGTATCTCATACCCATTTACATGGGTGGTGATACAGTTTTGAAGGGTTCAATTTTTAAAGTTCTAAAAGATTATTCAATCTAATGCTATCTGAGGTATAAATACATTCATAGTATCCATAGATGTGAAATTCGTCTAGTCAAAGATAGATAGATATAGAGTCATAAAATAAAACCAGAATTGTTAATTTTAGTTTTTCTTTGATTGTCAAAATAGCGCCATTCAAACACGTAGGTCTACAAGTGCATTAATGCATCAACAATTCATATAATCTGAATAATCTTAAACATTAGAATTAAACTCTTCAAAGAATATATCATGCCCCAAGTACGCGGGTACGTGGGTACGAGGTATAAGGTTTTTCATACAAAGCCCGAGGTATTGACTGAGGGAATAGAGTGATCGAGTGACAATATCATAATTACACAAGGCAATACACCTATTGTCAAAGGGTAAAACCCATAGCATTAAACTGTTTATTTCATAAAAATCCCAATCAGCAAAAACAATCCAATAAAAAGAACAGGCGCGTTTATTGGCAAATAATATCCCCATGGTCAAAAGAAATATTTCTTAGGTGTAACATGAAGAATAGAATGTTATATAACTCTTTGGAAAATATTAAAGTGCTCGGTCACATATAGGCTGAGATAGGGGCCATTTAGTTCAGTAAGGTTGTATTGACTTACATGGGACTGTGCATCATTGACTTAACATGAGGATATCAGCAGATCCCTATAGAGGCCATTGGTTTCCATTGATTATCACCAAAATACTAAAAATACACTATGACCTGAATCGACTGCAACCTTAATAATTTCATAATATGACACAAATGGTTTATCTCATCAAATGTGCAAATATGAAGTTTGCAATCGATTCAGGTCATACTTAAAATTAAATGATTGTGCATTTTTCATCATTTTTTCCCTACAAAATGGCTATAGAAAAATGCTCCAAAAACAACTTTTACACTTATCAAAAATCATACAACTTTGTAAAACCAAAGAATATACTATTATGTTTCATTATGTAGTAACATATGTGGATAAGATGTAGGGATGCTTAGGATGCAAATGGATTTTGACAGACATAAAAATACTTCCTGGTTTGGAATCTATGCCTCTACACTTCATGATTGAATTATGACCATAATAAGTGGCCTATACATCAACACAGTGCTGAATATAGGTCAACAAGATACTAGTGTGCATATAAATGTAATAATTAAAGCAGAATACTCATTTTGAAAAATCTATAATACGCAATTCTGCAACAATGAATACACACTCAGGGTATTAAGCACTCACCTATGTAGAATATATCATGCCATCTATGGAACATATATAACTCTATATATAAACATCATTGCATAAAATAAGGTACATCTAAATGTCGCTCTAAGTGACATCTTTTCATACACTATACACTAAGGCCATGGCCTATGAGGTAAAAATGACAAATGGATTATCAGATAATGCTTATCTCATTTAGATCATTTTTTTCTTTTTGGAAATCAATCATGTGACATAGCTCAATGTTTTCGTGCATTAATCTCATTAATAAATTGCTACTTTTAGGTAAAAAATTCGGCCTAAAAAGTTATTGTTTTTGGATTATCCTAATCCCAAAGTAATTAAGTTTTCCTTTTTAGAGGTAGATCATTCCTTGCAATAAATTTTAATTTTGCCATAAAAGCTGAAATAAAATGCTGCATTTTTGGTGAAAATTGCGTCAGAATTAGGGAAAATTGGTGAAGATGGTTGGATTAGGAACAGCTTAAGAGATAATCCATTCAACTTGATTATCATCCTACTGTCATTTATTGAAGACAAGACATGGATCTAACAGAACCTTTTGTTTTTGTGGTTAAAATATTCTTCTAACTAAAGATATAGCCCTTTGAAAATGGCTTGCCATATCTTACGTGCACCTTTCTTGTTACAGCCAACCAAAAGAAAACATCTAAAGCTGATAAGATCATTGCAGGTAGGAGTGATTTGATTTGCAAAGTATGATCATATCGTAATTCATCTTTGTTTACTGTCGGCTCCCGTCGGTCAGAACGCTGTGTTGATTGCCCTGGTACTTACCAAAATGAATTTAATAAATGTATAGGAAAGATCACGCCTTGTCAAATGATACTACCATACTGTATGTTGAGGTCGCGCCTTGTCAAATGATACGACCACACTGTATGTTGAGGTCACGCCTTGTCAAATGATACTACCATACTGTATGTTGAGGTCACGCCTTGTCAAATGATACTACCACACTGTATGTTGAGGTCACGCCTTGTCAAATGATACTACCATACTGTATGTTGAGGTCACGCCTTGTCAAATGATACTACCACACTGTATGTTGAGGTCACGCCTTGTCAAATGATACTACCACACTGTATGCTGAGGTCACGCCTTGTCAAATGATACTACCATACTGTATGTTGAGGTCACGCCTTGTCAAATGATACTACCATATTATATGTTCAGGTGAAACCTGGTACCTCAGATTTTGAGATTGCAAAATATTCAACACTCTTGGGTTGAATATTTTATTTGATATTCTTGACGCAAACGACAGTTGTTTTTATAATGCACGTTTTATGCCATTCCGAAGTGCATTCCATGTTTCAGCTTTACCTGATGCAATGTTGGAATGCGCTCGTGATGTCGTGGGTCGAGTATCAATAGAGAATCTTGCGAAGTACCACAATAAGGATGGTTACAGAATAGCCCAAATTGCTTTATGGAATAGTAAGATATTTTTTCATTAGAAATTGGAGAAGATGAAAAATGAAAAAACATGCTTCAATGTCATGAACATTTTGGTCTACAACAATACTAGCCTATACGGTCAGAATCGCAAATAACTCATAAGTAACAACTATTTTATTCTGCCCAAGCGAATATGTGCGCATCTTTCACAAATAATACATACATCCAAAAAACATAAAAAGAACAAGCTGAATTTCCACAGTGAAAGATAAACTGACAACTTAAACATTTTGCATTGAGGCATAAGATGGTATATTCTATAACATAACTTTTAAATACATATATCACAATATTTCACACGGGAGTAAAAGTTGATTTTTATTATTTTGTAGAATTGAATAGTAATAAGAAACAGAATATATCAGCAATACTAAGCGCATGTCTTATTTTGAATTATTCAGGTATGGTCTACAATGTGATTAATTGTGCAAAGGCGGCTGGTGTTGTAGTTAAGTGTAAACACAAAAGTTTCCTGTATGAGCTTGGTGCTCTCAACATTGATGTAGTCACAAAATGGATGACCGACTTCCCGGATGTGTTCGTGTGAGTGAATCGTCAGCCGACAGTCGGAAGTTGAATTTACGAATGCTACCTAGTAAGCAAAAACCAACTCATCAACATAGATCATCCTGTAGAATGTGCATATGAGACTAATTTGAAAATAAATCTTTTGTTGAAAACTCCTAAATTTTCCTATGTACTGTACTTGTAATAATGTTAAAATCGCTGGTCAACGTCTGTTAGCAGTGTATCTCCTCAATGGCAGCGCAATTGCAAATAAACAAAAAATATTGTCTAAGTTTTTAAGGAGAAGAGAATTTGCCCCAGGTACCATGCATCATGCAAGTTCGGACATGTTGTTGACATTATATTGATCTAGTACTACGGCCAAGGCCATTTGTGTCCAAACCACCTAGATTCAATATTAAGTAAAAGAAAATTTGTGAACCCTTGCAAAGCAGACTCAAAAGTGCTGAGTCAGCAAATTTTATCATTTTCGAGTCGCAGTTTGACCATATGCTTGAAACTATTTAATTTCTCATTTGAAGGTGTTGCAATTATAACGAAGCATTATTAATATATCAATTAGGCATGTATGAAGAATTCCTGAAAGTTTGGGTCTTATCCACCAAAATTTGGTAGAGATATGGGATAACTCTCTTCAAAATTTCTTAATCAGTCGATAATCAGTCATTTAAAAAACGGAATTGATCACTTGGAGAGAAAGTAAAGCACTATTATTTCATTTGGCTTCAGGTTCCTACAACTTAACAATTTATGACACATATAATACAAAGCATATACACCCCCTCCATAAGGTTGGTAACTGCAAGTTTTCATATGATAACATATCAAGGTCTGTCAATGTTTGAACCTTGATTTTGTTCCTTATTGCTTTATTTCAAAAGCTTTGATGTCTTGTTTAAAATTGCCAAACAGCATGACAAGCTTTGATAAGTGATTCAAAGGGGGACTTCCAGTTACAAAACTTATGATTGGGAGTGTAATATAACATATTATCATCATGATTTTTTCTTAACATACCATAACTACATGAACAACATTAGGATAGAATGGCACCTGAAATACAATTTTGAAAAATGTTATTAGTACACATACATGTATTTCCAATTGCTGACCACACATACCCTAAACGGATTTATGGGGTATGGCAATGATAAGCTGTAAAAAATATAAAATGTAAGTACCAAAGGCCCTTACTGTTTTTTAAATGACTGATTAACTATCGACTGATTAAGAAATTTTGAAGAGAAATTATGTACTTTTAGGGACAAATTATCCCATATCTCTACTCAATTTTATTGGATAATACCCAAACTTTCAGAAATTCTTCAAACATGCCTTATTGATATATTAACAATGTTTCATTATAATTGCAATATCCTCAAATGAGATATTAAATAGTTTAAAGCATATGGTCAAACTCCGACTCGAAAATGATAAAATTTGCTGAGCCTGCTTTGCAAGGGTTCACAAACTTTTTTTACATGCCTTGGGGTCACCTACAAGAATCTAAAGTCAAATTGAATCTAGGTGTTTTGGACACAAATGGCCTTGGCCGTAGTACTAATCAGGAAGTTCCAAAGATGCTGCTGAAATATCAGCCTTTAATAATAAAAACTTTTAGTTTTATTTATTTATGTTTATTTTATCCACCAGAATTGGTGTGTTTACATGTGTTATATAAAATATTACATAAGGGGTTGAGATTATTATGTTACATACAATAATAAAAAAAAACAATTAAAATGTTTATGTACAACCAATCCCTGGTGTTGACGGACGTCAGGTTACCGCGTTTTATAACAATTAGTTCAGGACTTGAAATTAAATTATCATTGAAACATGTTACTCACACACTCGCTCAAATATGACACAAAGTTTGATTTGCTTTAATATTGAACCCAAAAAAACTCACATAGGAAAAGCATACGAAGTTCAGAGATCATTAGAAGTGCATACGCATGTTAAATAAAGTGCATGTTTTGAATTACTGTTGATTTAAAAGATGGCAACACTTCTATTAAATTGAATGTATCATGTAATACAAACAACTCTGTCATCTTTCAATGACATTGATAAAAATTTGATATACGAGTATAAAGCTCGACAGATCGAAAATATTTTTTGATAATTTATTGTAAGCTTTGATGTGGTCCGTTTGAGCTATTGTTGGTGTCAAATGAAAGATAAGGTTCTTATCAATAAATTCAATAAATGAAATTCAAATGTAAGTCTTAATTTTGCCCAAACACGTTGGAAATACGCAAAGTGGGCCTTTAAAATATGATGTTCACACAATGATGAACAAACTGAGGATGTGATGTCATGTTGTTCACACGATGCTTATAATTATATTGCAGAAATCGACTCCTGCGCTCGGTCAATGCTTATTGCTAAATACAAAGTTGCGATTAAATATGATACTCATTCCTCTGATCAGACTGTTTGTCAATATGACCAAGTACTGTACTCCGGGTAAATTTCGACGCTATAAAATTTCGCGATTTTTCAAAATTGCAATTTCGCGGCTATTTAATTTCGCGGATTTGAGTTGATGACATTTCGCAGATTGCACAAGTTGAATTTTTTTCCGATAACCGTGAATAAATGCGTATTTTAGCCCGTTTAGAATCCAAATAATATTTGTATTTCCCACGTTTAGGGCATTTATTTGAATATTCTTGAATGGCTTTTTCAACTTCAATTTGTAGGATATCATTGTCGTCAACAGTTCTTGCCTTTGTTGGCCTATTAAGCCAATTCAAAATGTTAGACATTTTAGGTCTTTTTTGAATTATCACCAAACAACACTGGAGGAAACGTTTTACACCGAATGGAACATATCAAAAGTCAAATCACAGGGGATTTAAAAGACAAATTTCGCGACGATAAATGTTCGCGATTTTACTACATTCGCGAACAAAGCGAAATTAAATCGCACGCGAACAATACCCGGAGTACAGTAAGTCAATATTTAAATTTTAAGTTAATAATGAAGATGTTCAAATTATTTTTGTTTCACTGATTTACACCTAAACATAATTTAAATTACAAACTATAATTCATTGCGTTTACACCAATGTAGTAATCCAATACGGGACTAATACTGGAATTGCTGTTTATTTGAAAATCAAATATCTAGCAATTTAGCTGCCATTATTTTCTCAAATTTTCTAAAAGTCAGAACCCACGACCTTTCAAGGGGCTATAAATCGAGAAAACAAAAATTCTAAAAAGCGGAAGGTCATATATGTTGTTATTTTGACTGTACGTCGAGTTAAGTAGATGTAGAACATGGATACTGTCATGTTTTAGGATGTTGCGACTGCTTTAAATCAAGAATTATCAACCTGTGATAATTACACATCAAAACTGATACAATATTGGATTATGGCAGCAACTTTGGATTTCGAATTAATAAGTGTCAACGAAGTCAACTGCAATCTTGTAAATGAAATAATAAAATTACGCTCCTTCCTCACCCAAGGTAAAACACTGACAACTAAGCTTGTATTCGCGAATGCAACTTTCGGCTGTCGGCTACCGGATTGAAGGCCCCTCACATATGAACGAATCTACCTAACGCAGTCTTGCGAATTGGGTAAATGCGAACCTAAGCGCATCTTTGCGCATGGTTCCGAAATCGTCCGAAGCTTTCCGAAGGGATACTTACACATACGAACACCCCAACGATGCACAATGTACATATACTACAGTAATTGGAAGGAATTTCACCCAATTCCTATTCGAAAGAATGTGTTAAGTGGATTCGTTCATATGTGAGGGGGGCTTTACATACTATTTTATGACCAACTCATCTAAATATGAATGGAATAGTGGCAGGTTCGATTCTTATTTAAATGAGGTGCCCATAAAATAGTAGGTTAATTCGTCAGCCGACAGCCGAAAGTTGCATTCGCGAATACCGACTAAAACAATATGTATTTAATTGGAAAAAACAAGAATATGTCACCAGCTGACAAGTCATTGGGAATGATTACAAAAAACGTAACACTTTGTTACCGTCGGTGATCGCTGAATACTGGTCGTTATAACAAGGTCACCACCTGGTGACATAAAATTTGATTTTAACACCCTATAATATGACGTTATTGTCTTAAATTTCTTGTTACAGCCAACCAAAAGAAAACATCTAAAGCTGATAAGATCATTGCAGGTAGGAGTGATTTGATTTGTAAAGTATGATCATATCGTAATTCATCTTTCTTTACTGTCGGCTCCCGTCGGTCAGAACGCTGTATTGATTGCCCTGGTACTTACCAAAATGAATTTAATAAATGTATAGGAAAGATCACGCCTTGTCAAATGATACTACCATACTGTATGTTGAGGTCGCGCCTCGTCAAATGATACGACCACACTGTATGTTGAGGTCACGCTTTGTCAAATGATACTACCATACTGTATGTTGAGGTCACGCCTTGTCAAATGATACTACCACACTGTATGTTGAGGTCACGCCTTGTCAAATGATACTACCATACTGTATGTTGAGGTCACGCCTTGTCAAATGATACTACCACACTGTATGTTGAGGTCACGCCTTGTCAAATGATACTACCACACTGTATGCTGAGGTCACGCCTTGTCAAATGATACTACCATACTGTATGTTGAGGTCACGCCTTGTCAAATGATACTACCATACTGTATGTTGAGGTCACGCCTTGTCAAATGATACTACCACACTGTATGCTGAGGTCACGCCTTGTCGAATGATACTACCATACTGTATGTTGAGGTCACGCCTTGTCAAATGATACTACCATATTATATGTTCAGGTGAAACCTGGTACCTCAGATTTTGAGATTGCAAAATATTCAACACTCTTGGGTTGAATATTTTATTTGATATTCTTGACGCAAACGACAGTTGTTTTTTATAATGCACGTTTTTATGCCATTCTGAAGTGCATCCCATGTTTCAGCTTTTCCTGATGCAATGTCGGAATGCGCTCGTGATGTTGTGGGTCGAGTTTCAATCGAGAATCTTGCGAAGTACCAGAATAAGGATGGTTACAGAATAGCCCAAATTGCTTCATGGAATAGTAATATATTTTTTCATTAGAAATTGGAGAAGATGAAAACTGAAAAAACATGCTTCAATGTCATGAACATTTTGGTCTACAACAATACTAGCCTATACGGTCAGAATCGCAAATAACTCATAAGTAACAACTATTTTATTCTGTCCAAGCGAATATGT